GGTCAGTATGTGGGATCCGAACCCTCGGGCGGGAGCGCCACCGCACTTCCCAAGCGGCACACTTATCCAGTGCACCACCGGGCCGGCCCGAAATGTTGCAGTTCTTTCCCAGTCTCATTTGACTTGTTTGTGGTGTTTTGGNGGCCGGCCCGAAATGTTGCAGTTCTTTCCCAGTCTCATTTGACTTGTTTGTGGTGTTTTGGCTATTAAAGTATTAATCTTTTTATAGGCAGTGCTGTCAACCTATTCTATATGACTTCTGGATTTTATGTTGTTTTGAAAGTCCCTCCTTCGTTTTAAAATAATTTTTTTTAAAGTATCCTGTATTATAAAGTGGTAATTATGGTTTTATTTTTACATTTGGATGTTTACTTATTTTTGCATATGGTGTGCAGTAGGCAGGGATCAAAATATGGAATATTCTGTCATCAGAAAGACTGCTAGCATCCCTTCCCAGTCACCCAACCCAGCAAAAACAAAACCAAAACACTGTGTGATTACTATCACCCTACCCCCCAAAATGATAAAACATTGGCATGATTACTTTCATGGTAGATTAATTTTGTCTGTTCTGCAGCTTCATGTGAGGGGAACCCTATAATACAAACTCTTTTGTGTTTTTGTTGTTTTGTTTGTTTTTGTTTTTGCTCGGTGTAATTAGTTTTATTCTGCAGCTTTATAGTACATTTTTTTGTTTGGGTGGTGTAAGTTTCTTTTGGCAGCTAGCTGGTACAGGGATCTGAAAACTTGCCCTTGGTGTATTTCGATGTATGTATGTTTTACTGAATTATTTTCAACTACCTTATCAGTAGGTTTTATCGAGATTTTAACGGAAAATAGAGTGACCTGTGAACAAACTCGAAATGGTTTGAAATTCTAGAAAGCATATCAAGTGATCTCAGCACTCCTCCAAAATAGTTTTATACCAGTAATACATTTAGCATGATCTTCTAAAGTAATGGCCAGCAAAGTACATTTCCTTGTAGTGTCATTATCAATCAGAAAGTACAAATTAATAGAATGTTTGAGAATATTTTATAACTGGAGATGTAAAGTTGGCATGTTTGCTTTTGAAGCACCTAATCCCTGTACTGCTGGGTCATTTCCTTGTTTTTGTTTGTTTTGATATTTCCGTGCTTACAGAAAGGTTGTAAGAGTACAAGGAAATTTTCAAATCTCCTTCACTCAGATTCTCCAAATATTAGCCTTACTTACATTTGCTTTATTCTTTTTTTTAATATTTTTTTTCCTGAGTTGTTTGATAATAAGTTGAAAGGCATATGCCTCTTTGCACTACATATTACAGCACTTCCTAAAAACAAGGACGTTACATAACCATAATAATTAAAATTTAAAA